GGTACAAACATCTCTCGGGACGGACCAAGTCACAATCCCCAATGGTGCTCTACCCCACGCCCGATATCCGGANCCTCAATATAGCGTTACAATGTGAAATTCCGGGGTTTCAAACCCTCAGGACATCACTTACATCAATTACTCACCTCAAGACGGTCAAAGTCTAGCTCGCTATGCCCTTGCCTCTCAAATTACCCTCCTTGTGCGACAAATCTGCCCAAAATTACAACGAATATGTCGCATTATGCTAAAGAGACAATACCCAATCGAAAGCAATCGAAAAGCACCAAAAATCTCGAAATTAGCAAAACCCGAGCCCCGGGACCACTTCTCGAAACTCAAAATTTTTTACATCAACTGGTTCCTTATCTCCCAACGAGTTCAACCATACCAATTTTACCAAAATCCGACATCAACTCGACCCTCAAATCTTCAAATTAAACCACGAAGATTTTCAAGATTTTACCAACTAAAATCATAAATTAAATGTTAAAACCAACGATGGATTCGAGTAATCTAACCAAAAATTGAGTTAAGAACACTTACCTTGATATTTTTCTTGAAAATCTCTCGAAAAATCGCCTTAACCGAGCTCCCCCAACTCTATTTTTGTCAAAAATGGCCAAAAACTTCGTTTTATAACATTTTTCCGATTCGGGCACCACAGGTGGCGCCGGGCGCTGCCTGTGGCGCTGGTTCCAGTAGCCAAAATAAATCCTGGCGCCATGGATGGCGCCCCGCGCTACTCTGGGCGTTGGCGATGGGAAATTATTTTTCCCCGACACGAAAATGGGCATAACTCTCTCATGCGATGTCCGAATTGGATGATTCTTTTTGCTATGGCTCTGAAATTTCGATACGGATCTAATGCTTCAATGAAAACTGAATTTGGAGCTCATTTGCATAATGTGATACCACTTACTCTTGAAGAACGACATCAAAACATTCTTGAAATGCCCAAGTTAAACTCCAATAACCATCCAAACTCCACCCGAGGCCCTTGGGACCTCAATCAAATATATCAACAAGTCCTAAAATATCATGTGGACTTACTCAGAGTTTCAAATCATGCCAAGCAACGTCGAAACTACAATTCACACCTCAATTCGGACTTATGAGTTTTAAACTTTTTCTTTTACAAAGCGCATGCCGAAACATATAAAATGAATCCGGAATGACTTCAAATTTTTCACACAAATCCCAAATAACATAACGAAGCTACAACAACTCTCAAAATTCCATTCCGATCCCCGGATCAAAATCTCACCTATCAACCGGAAATCGCCAAAATACCAACTTCACCAATTCAAGCCTAATTCTACACCGGACCTCCAAAACCAATTCTAATCACACTCCTAAGTCACAAATCACCTCCCGAAGCTAACTGAACCATCGGAACTCACATCCGAGCCCTCTAACTCATAAGTCAACGTCCAGTTGACTTTTTCAACTTAAGCCTTCTTAAAAGAGACTAAGTGTCTCAATTCCTTTCAAAACCTTTCCGAATCAACTCGTTCACACCCAACACTGATAATTAAGAATAAAGAAATAGGAAATGGGGAAAAAGGGGCGGTAACTCACGAGACGACGGGTCAGATCGTCACACGTACTCACCTGCACCATCCAACGTGCTGGCCGAGACGAATGTCCCGGTCTAGTAAGATTTTAGGTGACTTCCATCCACAACCACAATGGGTCTACAATGATCAAACCCCTTTATAAAGGCATACAAAGATATATACACATACATGAACTCATTTTTGGGCAATTTTACCATTCTAATGTATGAACCTGGATATGTCTTATCCATTGTATATAAGTATCCTGGTAATTTTTTGTATGAATCACCGGTTCACCTCTCAAAAAATTCATTGCCTTCTCTTTAGCCCGCCACGCTAACATGTAGCTAACATCTACACCTAAATATGATTTCACATCATCAATTATATCCTTTGGGGTGTATTTCCTCTTATGATTAGTAAGCTTGGGCCTAATCATACCACCTATAAGGCTGCTACTTGCTTGTCGCTGCTCATACACCTTGTCCTTCAACGGACATGTATGCTTATCAATGAACTCTCTCACTTTGAATAGTTCTGATTTGTTAATTCTCGAAGCCTTAAACCTCCATTCACAATCTTCTGACATACATAATAATGCATAGCTACAAAGAATTTATCATTATACATATGATTAGCATAAATGCTTAAAAAATCACTCATATACACATGAATACAAATACGACTATAGTTATTTGTGCAAATAATACAACTGAATACACTTATATTTATATGCACACATTTGTATACAACTAGTAAACCAAAGAGGAAAACAATGAGAGCCACTGTAATAAGTTTATACAATTAAAATACACAAGAATACATGTATTTGAAGACCATAAAAAAATAGTTAACCACATCAGTGAAGATCAATTGTATTACAAATATACATAAACATATCAACATATAACTTACAACTCTAACCATAAATACAAAATACGACAAAAATAAAGAATAATAAAATACACTCAAACCTGACAGAATTAGACCTACCAACCTGGAATTAAAACCTTTGAGATATAGCATAATGCTCCATCACCTCTTTAAATGTAGCCTTATTCTTATATACTTGTCCAACCATAATCTCCCTTTGATTAGTTTTTGAAATTATCAAATCCTTGTCCAGTTCGAACACCCCAATTGTTTGTCCTAAATTGACAAAATCTAAAGCAAGTGTAGCATCTTGTGACGACCCGGCTGGTCGTCTTAAGAATTAACGCCCCAATCCCCTATTAAATTCTTTTCCCAAGTTTAATTATGCTATTTTGATTTGCCGGAATGTTCGGTTTTACGTTTCGGAGAGTTCTGGGACACTTAGTCCCTAAATGAGAGCTTAAGTGTTGGAAAGTTGACCGTAGTCGGAACAGTGTGAAGACAACCTCAAAATGGAATCTGATGGTTTTGTTAGCTCCGTTAGGTGATTTTGGACTTAGGGGTGTGTTCGGATTGTGTTTTGGAGGTCCGTATCTAATTTAGGCTTGAAATGTCGAAAGTTGAATTCTTGAAGTTTCCGGTCTGATAGTGAGATTTTGATCCGAGGTTTGGAATTAAATTCTGGAAGTTGGAGTGGCTCCGTAGTGTTGAATGTGATGTGTGTGCAAAATTTCAGGTCATTCAGACGAGGTTTGATAGACTTTTTGATTGAAAGCGTATTTTGAGAAATTTGGAGTTCTTAGGCTTAAATCCATGGTTAATTCGAGGTTTCGATATTTTTTTTTAAGTATTTTAAGGATTGGTACAAGTTTGGATAGTGGTTTGTGACTTGTTGTTGTCTTTGGTTGAGGTCCTGGGGTCCCCGAGGTGAATTCGGATGGTTGACGGAAGGATTTGGAGTTTGAAGTTTGTTGAAACAGCTGGTCTTCTGTCATAACCGCACCAGCGGTTTGGGTTCCGCAGGTGTGGAGCTGCAGAAGTGGCGGAGCCATCGCAGAAGAGGATCTGGGGAGGGTCTTCAGGTTTCGCAGATGCGGAAGGAATACCACAGAAGCGGTGGCACATCTACGAAAGGGTAACCACAGATGCAGTTTCTGGTCTTTAAGTGAAAGTCGCAGGTGCGACCTTTGGTCCACAAAAGCGGGACCGAGTCGTAGATTCGAAAATCACTGGGCAGAACATATAAATAGTTGCTTTCGCGAATTTGAGTAATTCTTTCACCATTTTCATCCGGGTTTGAAGCTTTTAAGAGAGATTTTTGAGGAAAACAAAGGGGAATCACTTGGAGGCAACATCCTTGACTTCATAACTCATTTTTATGTGATTAAGGACCTAATTAGTAGTGAAAAATTTGGAAAAAATGGGTAATTATGGCTTGAATTTAAGAGACCTTTAACTGAGGATTTGAGGGGATATTTGGACTCCGATTCAGTGTTCTTGTTATATATAGACTCATGAGAGTACGAGATTTCTGAAAATATAAATTTTACCCAATTCCGAGACATGGGCCCGAGGGGCATTTTGGTCATTTTACCTAATTTCGCATTTTAGCTTAGAATTTAATTGTAGAATCAGTTACTTGAAGTGTTATTTACATTATGAAATTGAATTGAATAGATTTGTACCATTTGGAGTCGAGTACTCGTGGCAAGAGCGTGGTTTCAAATTGATTTTGAGCCGGTTCGAGGTAAGTGACTTGCCTAACCTTGTGTGGGGGACCTTCCCCTTAGGATTGATATATTTGGTAATTGAAATTCCTTGTACGCGAGGTGACGAGTGCGTACTTGTGCTAATTGTTGGAAATCCGGTTTTCTTTAAGTAATTACTAGTATGTTTCCTTTTATGTTTCTATTATTTGCACTGTTAAGCCTGTTGTTAGCTTAGGAAAACATGTCTGAGTAACTTAATTGCTTTATTTGTTCAACCTTCCTTACTTGAATTCTGTGCAGCATGCTAGACTAGAATCACTTGTTGTCTTAATACGAAGTCTTGCCATTTCTGTATATTTTCCTATTGCTGATGTGTATTTATTTTGGGACTACGGATGTGGGATTCCAGTAGCTCCCCCTTGTCTAGTTATTTTGGGACTATGGATGTGGGATTCCGGTAGCTCCCCCTTATTTGTTTATTTTGGGACTACGGATGTGGGATTCCGGTAGATCCCCCTGCACAGTTATATGGAACTACGGGAATGCACCCGGTAGATTCCCCAAGTACTGGATATTTACATTTGGGACTACGGAATGGGATTCCGGTAGGTCCCCGCGCACTATGAGTTAGACTACGGGACGTGATCCCGGGAGATCCACAGGATATATACATATGGGACTACAGGACGGTATCCTGGGAGATCCCCGATTGTTACTATCGGTACTGAGCTGTGTTTCCTTTCCATGTTTACCTTGTTTCTGTATAGTTGTTGTTGTTGTTCTGTACATCCAGTGTTATTTTACTGCCGCACTTATTTATATTGTTCTGTCCTATACTGTTGATCTTTATATTTTGTTTAACCTCAGTATGGCTCTGACCTTCCTCGTCACTACCCAACCGAGGTTAGGCTTGACACATACTGAGTACCATTGTGGTGTACTCATGCCCCTTCCGCGCATGTTTTTCATGTGCAGATCTAGGTACCGCTACTCAGGCCTACCATCCTTGAGGGAAGCGACTGATCTAGAGACTTCGAGGACATTTGCCGCGTCCGCAGATCGAGAAGTCTCTTTCTATTCTAGCTGTTAAACATTGCCCTTCTGTATTTTCTTTCTTGTTAGATATTCTGGAGTTAGACTGTTAGATATTCCAAAGGCTTGTGTTTCCGTGAGTTTTCGGGTTTTGGGATAGTGTATTTGGTTTGAGAATGTTATGTTGTATATGCCGAGCGACATTATAACTATTGTTTCCATTCAGTTATTTTGGTTTTGATTATTTCTTCCGCAAGTTTCATTTATGTTCTGCATTTGTTAGGCTTACTTAGTCGTAGAGACTAGGTGCCGTCACGACAGTTCACGGAGGGCAAACTGGGGTCGTGACACATCTGTATCGGAATCATACCTTTGAACTGCTTCGTCTATTTGCACAATGTCGCCTTAAATTAAACTACCTCCGGATACAAGTTCTTTTTCAATCGTTGTTATCCACAAAGGATACATCTCGAGTTCTCTGTTCTCTTTTTTCAACTCTACATACACCCTGTAATCCATATCATTGTATATTTCCATTGGCGTGCCAATTTTCTTCTACCTTGTATTGAATTTTAATGGACTTTGAGCTTAAATATATGCCCAGTTGATTAGAGATTGACGCAACCAAATCATTATACGACACATACTCCTTTATCAGTATTCCCTCAATTAAATAATCGACGTAATTGCTCTTACTGTTCCACTTGCCAGAATGCCGCAACAATACTGTTAAACTTGCCATATGTATACACTTGTATCAATCGCAATTTTTGTTGTTGAAAAGATAACTGGGTACGCACTGGAACTACAAAAAAAAAGGGAGGACTTAAAATCCAGATGTTGCTCTGCTTTAGGTTATTTTTTTCGATTGAAAAACTTTCGTGAATGGAGGAATACTGATTTATGGTGCAATAGTTTGTGTTAGTTGAGTTATATTAGGAGAATATCAGGTAAATTGATTTCTTTTTCATTTTAAACCAGTTGAAAAGTCCATATTTTACGCTAAAAACGTTACTGTATTTTTGAATACGCCTCGTAAATATAATTAAATACATCTGAAGATTAGCTGGACTTCCTTGATTCACGCCTATTTTTGCTACTGTATTCATGAATACATTAGGTTACATACATCAAATACATCTTATAACCACGTAAAAGGTATCTATAAAACGTAATATATCAAATGGTATCTATAGATGACTAATTACTACTAAAAGATAGTGCTTTATGAAAATTTCTCTAAACCATATCTATAAATTATACTCCCTCCATCCCAATTTATGTGTCACTAGTTGACTGAATATGCAGTTTAAGAAATAAATAAATATTTTTAAAATTTGTGGTCCAAAATAACAATTAGATATTTGTGTTATAAAATCAACTCAATAAGGATAAAAGAGGAATCTTAAAGTTAAATTACTTTTATAAATATAAAAATATAATATTCTTTTTTGGACAAACTAAACAGGAAAGAACGCCACATAAATTAGAATAAAGGGAATACAATAAAACGATTTTACAATCTTTTTATTTTCAGTGTTGTCCCAAGATCTTAGCATAGTAGTTGATGTATCGAAATATAATGGAGAAATTTTGAAATAGAGTAAAAGTAAAGGGAAAGACGAAATTAAAGTAAAAGTAAAGCAAGAAAGCCGCAGCAACTTCTTTTGCCCCTTCCATCAAGAGTTGTGGTGCTATACAATTTATTCCTCTATCTTTAACTATCTATTTCGAATCATGAAAATAATTTTTTTTGAATAGAAAATACTTTCTCTTTAGTAGGCTTGCGGGTGCGAATCCAAATTAGCTGATGCTTCGAAATAGGTATAAAACATCAGGTTGAGAAATCAAAAATAACTCTTTTGCTCCCTTTAGAAGCCTTAGGGGCGGTTTCACCTTGTGACCTACGAGTTCATCTATCCTGGTAATTTTTGTTCAAATAGTGTAAATGTGTTCGAAAAATCACTAAATATTTATAAATATTTGAATGTGAACCCAGTTACTATTGAACATTTACTTGACATCATTGCTGAAACCCATAAACATTAAATCATGGATCTACTTTTGTTTGCATTACAAAATGAGGCGAATGACATAGAGCCATACATTCTCTTACCAGTAGGCCTAGAGAGGACATTCCCAAGTAATAATGAACATATATGATTTAATGCAGATTTTAGAATCACAAGATTTCCATGAAAAACATTCAATACAATTCACCAGGAAAAGAACACATAATGCAGTACATCACAAAATCATTAACTAGCCTTGGTCCTATATATTCAATATCACCTAACCAAATACCCCTTCACCATTCATAAAGCAAATTTAAAAGTATTAAATTTTAAATTTGATTTTTGTGATCTGATAGTGTATATTATTTTTATTTGATCAAGTTAAGTTACCTGCAATAAGAGGTACACATAATTGGTTATAACAAAACATCACCTAGTAAACTATGAAACATGATAAATCGCCTGTAATAACATGTGATTTAACACTCAATAACGTAAAAATTCTTTATAATATTAGTGTATATATATATAATTTAAACTCTGTAAACTTGCCCAACGATATTCCTCTTAAATATATTAATATTATCTCCATCAAACCTTACAATTTGCCGACTAGACATAAGTAGCGGTGGTTGTGTGCCATTGTCACATATAAAACTAGTGTCCATTGAGAATTTGAGATTTATGGTGTCATCTTCTTTGGAAAACGACAAAACCATACCTAATATGTGTAGTGGTTCAATTCCATTCAAAATTTTAAAAAGATCCATTCAAATTTAATCTAGCATTTGGACATATATTTGGTTAAAATTTAAAAAAAATGGTTTTTATTTTTAAAAAAAAAATAATAATTTGAGAAAGTTGAAGTTGTATTTGGACATATATTTTATTTCAAAAAAAAGTTAAAATTTTGTGAGTAGAAGGAAAAATTTCACCCAAAAACTGTCCTAAACCAGTTTTTGAGAACTTAAAAAAAATAAATTCAAAAACTAAATATACTCCCTGAACAAAACAATGTTTTCAATCTTTTTTGAAAAAAAAAGTACCCAAAATTTATGGCGAAATGGGAGATAAATATTCCATCCAATTAATCCATGCAATATACCCAAGTGGGTAACGCAAAAAATCTCAACTCTTGGTCTCCGCAATAATCATTTGAAAAGGAGATTAAAGACTTAAAGAGGACCAGACTCTGATTAAAAAAAAGAGGCTATTTTTATAACCCCAATAATTGTCAATACTAGTCTTGACTAGCAAACAAGAGAAGTTCTGACGTACTCCATATATTATTGAAAATTCTGATTCTCCTCTTTTTGTATATTTACTTACAAAATGTGGCTGAACTCTAGTTCTTTATACAATGATGAGAGAGTTCTTCTTGAAGAAAAAGAAGAAGACGCATTATCATTACGCGATCTGCCAAAAAATGAAGAGAACCAAACAAAAAAACAATCTCCTAGAGGAAGCTTAACACAAGAAGAGTTTGATTTCTGCTCGTGCGTTGGTTCTTTGTTGAAAGATTCAGAAATGTGTAATGCTGATGAAGTTTTTTTCCAAGGTCAAATGTTGCCTCTACAATGTTTGCCAAGTGATAGCCATAGTAATGTTTTCAGGGGAGGAGCTACATGTAATGAACGAGGTTTAATTGAATCCTCCTCCTCGACAAGTTTTTCTCAGCAAATAAGGTAACAATAATCTTATGCTCCCTCTAGTCCTTCTTAAATGTCGTTTAGGGTCCGTTTGAAAGCCACCAAGGTAATTGAAATTTGTGTAATTACTAGGGTAGTAATTACACCGCCTAGTAATTACACGGTTGTCTAGTTATGATGATCTATTTGTTTATTATAGTATAATTACAAATTTACTGTTTGGTTGCACAAATGTAATTACATAGTTAGATCAAATTTTAAATGAAATAATTATCAAAACTTAAAATAATAAATATATGCCTATAAATTTTTATAAGTATAAATGATATTATATTTAGTATTTAAGATGCATATTTNTTTAGTTTAGATACTTGAAAAATACTAAAAATATACGTTTTGTAAGAACATCATGGAATTCATGTTTGATAAAATAAATTAATATTTATAAATATAATATCATAATATTATTCAAATGTTTGACAAAACTAAACTATCAATTCTAACTAAAAAATAAAGTACATACAATGTGAGCCAATATTACTAAAACAAGTAAATTGGAACCATGAATATAACATAATTTAAATTTTAGTACCTTCCACTACAACTTAAGATTAGGAAACATAATAAGTTTATAATCACATTCAACAATGAAATTCCACTTTAATTGCATCACTCATTATATGCCAAGTTTGTTAATGATTCATTTTTCTAATATTAGGATGTGTAGTTTAAAAAAGTAGAATAATAAATAAATAAAGAATAAAATATAAGCAATTACATAGAATCACAAGAAGTAAAGGTAGATAAATAAAAGATAAATAATGTACAAAGAAAAATATATTTGAAAAAATTCAAAATAAATTAAAAAGTAAAATAAAATTAAAACATTAAAGTAATAAAAATAAAGAGTTATACAGAAAATATATTAAAATAAAATAAAAAGGAAAGAAATTAAAAAGCAGCCTTGTAATTACACAGTGTAATTACCACCAATTCTCACCTCCCTTTGAGAATTAAAGAGTGTAATTATACCCCTCTAATTATACCCAATTTTATACTGACCAAGTAATTATTTGGCCAAACAAATATGTCAAACTGTGTAATTACACCCAATTTCCATTTTCAAGGTGTCTTTCCAAACATGATCTTAAGGTTTTGGAGAGTTCATTTAGAAAACTATTTAATAGCTTTAATTACGAGAATTATTTGATTAAATTACATTTTATCTATCCTCATGATGAGTAATGATATATGGAGCAAGGGTAGATTTAAAAAAAAAAAAAATTAATGTCTTCTTGTTTTCCTACAGCGCACTTGGAATTCGAAACCAGTTTCGTTCTCAACTAAGCCCGACAACCCAGGTTCAATTTTCAAAGATCACACACAGAAACATCAACAGGTCTAACCCAAAGCCGAAAATGTGGAGTCATTTTCGTGTTGGGTTGGTGAAAACACCAGAAATTGCACTAGAAGATCTTAAAATTCGTCGCAACAAGGATTTCGCAAGTCAAAATAGCACGAGTAGTAGCAGCAGCAATAGCAGTTCGAGCAATGACAATAGAAAGAGGATTATATTAAGCAAGAAAAAGAAGCAGAGGAAAAGGGCATTTCCCGGAAGTTGCAAATGTTCAGTGAATTCAGTTGAAATAGTTCCTTCTAAAGTTGTTACCATAAACAGAGTCAGCACCACTGTGAATTTGAAAGAGGAAATGAATGACCATAATATTGAAGATAATTATAAGGATGTTACAGAGATGAAGGAGAACAAAAAGAAACAAATCGGGACACGTCATCGAACGTTTGAATGGCTAAAGCTGCTTTCACTTGAATGTCCAGCAGATGAAACATAGAGATTTTAAACATTAGTATCACGCATGCTCACGTAACTGATGAAGTTGGTGCCATATGATTAGGAGACCACGAGTTCGACCCGTAAAAATAGCATCTTGCAGAAATGGAGAATAAGACTGCGTATAATAAACCCTTGCAGTCCGGTTCTTCCTTGGACATAGCGAGAGCTAATTAGTGCGTCAGGCTGTTTTTTTTTTTTTTTTTTTTTTTTTTTTTTTTTTTTTTTTTTTTGCAGCT